TGAAAATGTTTTGATTCTCTATTACTTCTTTAGCCTACATGTGAACTTTGCATCCTGTACTAACCTTAGTCATTTTATCAGTTCTCGTGCATTACAAGCATGTAGACAAGGCAAAGCACTATAAAAAATTGACGATTAGCGAAAGTTTCTAATTTCTCAAAAGAAATTATGTAGCTTTTGCAAAGTCATAATCTTGATTCTGGTGTGAACTCGTCTGACCTTCCATAAACTAACCAGTTTTCTAACTTTGAATCTCTCTCTGCCTATAAATCTCACAATTTTTGTCATTTGAATGTAATGACATTTGGAATTTCACATTCCAGAAATCTAAACCCGACTCCCGTATTTCTCCTTTCTCCGTGTTTCTCCTGCACCAAATTATTTATCCCTTTATTGACTTGAGCATTGTAGTGCTCACGATCATGGCCTCCCCCCATTCCTTGGAGAAGCTTCGGTCTTGTGCCTCTGATGTATGTGCCCGAGTATGAAGGTAACGTACAAGAGAGGAGTTGGGATTTGTTGAGTAGTAGGTCCTATTCAGATTCGGAGGTCAACGGTAACAATAATAAATGAAATGCACTCAACATTTTTCATTGCTAACCTTTTGTCGCATCAGGAAGACGCCCTTCTTTACAAGCAACAGTGGAATCCTAATGAAAAGAATGTGATTGGTGAAAAAATACAAAGCTGTCCAAGATGGAGAAGCGTAAAGAGGATTATTCAACCATGCGTTTACCTTTCTACCTGGGACAAAATGAATAGTGGGGCCTCCAGTGACCTCAACTGCTACAACCCCAGCAAGCTGAAAACATAAAAAGAATAAATCCAAAAACTACTTTTGTTGAATCGCCTTATCTAAAATTTATTATACTTTTTTTTTTCTAAATACTTAAGCTGCCAGAGAGGAGTCATGTGTATTCATTTAAATCTTGTCTTCAATCCACAATTACAGTTTGCATAACATCATATGATATGATATAAAGGAACCCTAAATTCAATCAGATGTAATTTAGTTTAGACAACATCCTTTCTATTTTTACAATGTTGTATCATAATTCATTAGCCAATGAATCGGCATCGATTAAGTGGAGCACCAGCTACAGGAAAAGAGAGAACTACTTAAAAACTCCATTACCTGATAAAGATCAGCATATGATATTTTGGGGTGTTTAGCTTTTACTTCTTCTGTTATCAAAACAGAATTCAACCAGTAGAAAATAATCAGTAACCACAAATTTTCAGCTATAAACTAAGGAACTAAGATTTTTTGTAAACAAGTTATAGGCCACTAGCAGGGTTCTTCTTGCAAAAGGAGGAGGAAAAACTTGCATTGGGATAGAAATGTTAAATGCCATTAGTCACCATACAACACTTTGCTTTTAAAAATTTGGAAGCTCCAAAGTTTAGATAGTGAGAAGACTGTGTTGAGAAAATGGAATTTCCACACTGAATATGAACCCCCTCTAACATGATTATAGGATACAAATTCTTGTTGTAGATATTCGATCAGCATCCAAATAAAATTGGAATATGAATGCACTTTTTGTGAGCTGTTTAACAAGTAGAGTCACAGAGACTTTGCAATTGGTCATCACTTTCTTAAAAAATAAAATGCGACGTTGGGAAATTCTATACCAAATGGTTTACAAGAAAAAGATAGAGATCTTAAGAAATTGCAAAGGGACATTTGCAAATAGCATCTGACTTCAAGATATTCTCTGATCTGATTCAACATATTGATTCCTTTAAAAGATTAAGAAATCACATTAAGATGTGTCTACTTAAATGATGTTTCATTCTTAAACTCATAAGTCGGTATTTTCAAACTGTGCAATTATATGTTAGGTGCATAACAAACTTAACAACCAAAACCACTTCAGCATCAATGTCTCATTAACCCAAAACCATAATTTGTTGTTCTACTCAACGGATCATGTCTCCCAGCATGATACCACTTGCAGAAGTAGATTGTTGAACTTATACACGAAGCAGAAGCATTGAGAATGCTAATAGAATGAAGTTTCCCTGCTAATCATGTCTTACTCTAAAGAGGGTAACTGCTAAAATATTAAAGCAGAAACATGTTAACTCACCACAAAGATCAATCGCAATTTTCAGGCCCCTATTTACTTCATGGTTGTACTCGTTCCTAATGGAGCCATTAGGACCTCCTGTCTTCGTTTTAGCATCATAAGTTCCCGCATCATGCCACCTGCAGAAGCCTCTTCTGTGAATGATTGAATTCTTCAAACTTGAACAATTATGTATTTGAATGTATATCAGCCAGCAAACAATTGGGTGCAGTTCAAAATTACTTTGAAATCACCCAACTTCTAGGACAAACATCCCATTCCCAAGCACAAATATTGATCTGGCATTTATTTCCAATAATTTTCACATTTTACAGGATGTCATGGGAATGCTCCTTATTCGTGATTAAGGGTATATACAATTCCTTTTGGTTCATTGTTACAAACACGGTAGAATTCACATATAAAAACGGCTTGCAATGTGCCAACAAAATCACATTATAGAAAAATGCATATGAAATTAAATATGAGAAGGGGTCGGGTTTACGCTAAGCGAAGCATGATGGGAGCACAGTTCTTGCTGGAAATGAGGGCTCTAAGGTCTCTGCGAGCCCCCTCTATCTCCTTTAGATACTCTCCATCCACCACTGTCATTCCTCTTTGTTTCTCTTTTTCTTTTTCTTTATAATTGATGAATGAATATGTTTCACATTATGCATTATATTTGTAA